ATAGACACGTGAGGAGGAGCACAGGTACAAATAGACACGTGAGGAGGAGCACAGGTACAAATAGACACATGAGGAGGAGCACAGGTACAAATAGACACGTGAGGAGGAGCACAGGTACAAATAGACACATGAGGAGGAGCACAGGTACAAATAGACACATGAGGAGGAGCACAGGTACAAATAGACACGTGAGGAGGAGCACAGGTACAAATAGACACATGAGGAGGAGCACAGGTACAAATAGACACATGAGGAGGAGCACAGGTACAAATAGACACATGAGGAGGAGCACAGGTACAAATAGACACGTGAGGAGGAGCACAGGTACAAATAGACACGTGAGGAGGAGCACAGGTACAAATAGACACGTGAGGAGGAGCACAGGTACAAATAGACACGTGAGGAGGAGCACAGGTACAAATAGACACATGAGGAGGAGCACAGGTACAAATAGACACGTGAGGAGGAGCACAGGTACAAATAGGGACACATGAGGAGGAGCACAGGTACAAATAGACACATGAGGAGGAGCACAGGTACAAATAGACACATGAGGAGGAGCACAGGTACAAATAGACACGTGAGGAGGAGCACAGGTACAAATAGACACATGAGGAGGAGCACAGGTACAAATAGACACGTGAGGAGGAGCACAGGTACAAATAGACACATGAGGAGGAGCACAGGTACAAATAGACACATGAGGAGGAGCACAGGTACAAATAGACACGTGAGGAGGAGCACAGGTACAAATAGACACGTGAGGAGGAGCACAGGTACAAATAGACACGTGAGGAGGAGCACAGGTACAAATAGACACATGAGGAGGAGCACAGGTACAAATAGACACGTGAGGAGGAGCACAGGTACAAATAGACACGTGAGGAGGAGCACAGGTACAAATAGAAACGTGAGGAGGAGCACAGGTACAAATAGACACGTGAGGAGGAGCACAGGTACAAATAGACACGTGAGGAGGAGCACAGGTACAAATAGACACGTGAGGAGGAGCACAGGTACAAATAGACACGTGAGGAGGAGCACAGGTACAAATAGACACATGAGGAGGAGCACAGGTACAAATAGACACATGAGGAGGAGCACAGGTACAAATAGACACATGAGGAGGAGCACAGGTACAAATAGACACATGAGGAGGAGCACAGGTACAAATAGACACGTGAGGAGGAGCACAGGTACAAATAGACACGTGAGGAGGAGCACAGGTACAAATAGACACATGAGGAGGAGCACAGGTACAAATAGACACGTGAGGAGGAGCACAGGTACAAATAGACACATGAGGAGGAGCACAGGTACAAATAGACACATGAGGAGGAGCACAGGTACAAATAGACACATGAGGAGGAGCACAGGTACAAATAGACACATGAGGAGGAGCACAGGTACAAATAGACACGTGAGGAGGAGCACAGGTACAAATAGACACATGAGGAGGAGCACAGGTACAAATAGACACGTGAGGAGGAGCACAGGTACAAATAGACACATGAGGAGGAGCACAGGTACAAATAGACACATGAGGAGGAGCACAGGTACAAATAGACACATGAGGAGGAGCACAGGTACAAATAGACACATGAGGAGGAGCACAGGTACAAATAGACACATGAGGAGGAGCACAGGTACAAATAGACACATGAGGAGGAGCACAGGTACAAATAGACACGTGAGGAGGAGCACAGGTACAAATAGACACGTGAGGAGGAGCACAGGTACAAATAGACACATGAGGAGGAGCACAGGTACAAATAGACACGTGAGGAGGAGCACAGGTACAAATAGACACGTGAGGAGGAGCACAGGTACAAATAGACACGTGAGGAGGAGCACAGGTACAAATAGACACATGAGGAGGAGCACAGGTACAAATAGACACGTGAGGAGGGAGCACAGGTACAAATAGACACATGAGGAGGAGCACAGGTACAAATAGACACATGAGGAGGAGCACAGGTACAAATAGACACATGAGGAGGAGCACAGGTACAAATAGACACGTGAGGAGGAGCACAGGTACAAATAGACACATGAGGAGGAGCACAGGTACAAATAGACACATGAGGAGGAGCACAGGTACAAATAGACACATGAGGAGGAGCACAGGTACAAATAGACACATGAGGAGGAGCACAGGTACAAATAGACACATTACAGGCGGACAATCAAACTAACGTGAAAAAACAGAACTGATGTCAAAACCCTTGTGTTATCCAAGGGTTATATTTACCTGCCACAGAGATTCAAAAACACCTATTATTGAGCTTAATTTTGATGATATTTTCACCTTGACCGGCCCGGAGTCATTTAGGCCCTAATTAAGGTATGGCCATAGTTTATTTCCTGGTGTGTTACTTCCTGTGTCTATAGTTGTACTTCCTGTGTCTATAGTTGTACTTCCTGTGTCTATAGTTGTACTTCCTGTGTCTATAGTTGTACTTCCTGTGTCTATAGTTGTACTTCCTGTGTCTATAGTTGTACTTCCTGTGTCTATAGTTGTACTTCCTGTGTCTATAGTTGTACTTCCTGTGTCTATAGTTGTACTTCCTGTGTCTATAGTTGTACTTCCTGTGTCTATAGTTGTACTTCCTGTGTCTATAGTTGTACTTCCTGTGTCTATAGTTGTACTTCCTGTGTCTATAGTTGTACTTCCTGTGTCTATATTTGTACTTCCTGTGTCTATAGTTGTACTTCCTGTGTCTATAGTTGTACTTCCTGTGTCTATAGTTGTACTTCCTGTGTCTATAGTTGTACTTCCTGTGTCTATAGTTGTACTTCCTGTGTCTATAGTTGTACTTCCTGTGTCTATACTTCCTTGTACTTCCTGTGTGTACTTCTATAGTTGTACTTCTGTGTCTATAGTTGTACTTCCTGTGTCTATAGTTGTACTTCCTGTGTCTATAGTTGTACTCTTCATGTGTCTATAGTTGTACTTCCTGTGTCTATAGTTGTACTTCCTGTGTCTATAGTTGTACTTCCCTGTTGTCTGTGTCTATAGTTGTACTTCCTGTGTCATAGTGTACTTCCTGTGTGTTCTATAGTTGTACTGTGTCTATAGTTGTGTCTATAGTTGTACTTCCTGTGTCTATAGTTGTACTTCCTGTGTCTATAGTTGTACTTCCTGTGTCTATAGTTGTACTTCCTGTGTCTATAGTTGTACTTCCTGTGTCTATAGTTGTACTTGTACTTCCTGTGTCTATAGTTGTACTTCCTGTGTCTATAGTTGTACTTCCTGTGTCTATAGTTGTACTTCCTGTGTCTATAGTTGTACTTCCTGTGTCTATAGTTGTACTTCCTGTGTCTATAGTTGTACTTCCTGTGTCTATATAGTTGTACTTCCTGTGTCTATAGTTGTACTTCCTGTGTCTATAGTTGTACTTCCTGTGTCTATAGTTGTACTTCCTGTGTCTATAGTTGTACTTCCTGTGTCTATAGTTGTACTTCCTGTGTCATTGTAGTTTAGTACTTCCTGTGTCTATAGTTGTACTTCCTGTGTCTATAGTTGTACTTCCTGTGTCTATAGTTGTACTTCTGTGTCTATTTGTACTTCCTGTGTCTATAGTATTGTACTTCCTGTGTCTATAGTTGTACTTCCTGTGTCTATAGTTGTACTTCCTGTGTCTAAGTTATAGTTGTACTTCCTGTGTCTATAGTTGTACTTCCTGTGTCTATAGTTTGTACTTCCTGTGTCTATAGTTGTACTTCCTGTGTCTATAGTTGTACTTCCTGTGTCTATAGTTGTACTTCCTGTGTCTATAGTTGTACTTCCTGTGTCTATAGTTGTACTTCCTGTGTCTATAGTTGTACTTCCTGTGTCTATAGTTGTACTTCCTGTGTCTATAGTTGTACTTCCTGTGTCTATAGTTGTACTTCCTGTGTCTATAGTTGTACTTCCTGTGTCTATAGTTGTACTTCCTGTGTCTATAGTTGTACTTCCTGTGTCTATAGTTGTACTTCCTGTTGTCTGATTACCTGCTGCTCTGATGTGTGTCACCTGTCATTAGTCTTGTGTAAAGTCTTGACTATTAGTTAGCTGGACCAATAGTTCTGATGATCTACCCGGAAGTAGAAAATCCTCCCATTATACTTTAAGTAAAAAAATCAACAAAATTGTCTGTAAAAAATAAATAAAAAAACATTCTGTTCTCCCATATCTTTTAAATCAACACAGCTTCATAATGGTCAACCGTGTGCGAGGATTAACCCTTAAAAAAATACATCTGCTGGCAATGGCAGATGTATTTTAACTTCATAACCCACAAGCTATATATCCTTTTAAAGCGTATTTTCTCAGCTACATTTATATATAAGTGGAAACAATATCAGACTTTCCATTAAAAAGATATAACACATAATAAGGGCAGAAAATAAATCATGATATTCATTAAATACATGTCCTCTTTGTGAGCTGAGGTCAATCCCTCAAATTTTGGTCTATTCTATATTTTTATATCATGCACCGGCTTTTTCCATTGTCCTCCTCAAAAAAAAGGTTTGATTTTCTTCAGTTGGAAACGACTCTTTGCTTTAGTCATTGGAATATAACGGCTGGTTGGTTTTATTGCTTAAAAGTGGAGATTTTTCTTGGCACTTCTCTCGTGGACCCTGGAAAGGCTGTGCCACAGAAGCTCACATTAAAGTTTGTCTTTGGATGAAACTTGTTTTGCGATGAAATACTAAGAATGTGCGTGGCCTTAACACAGAAGGTTGCAGATGCTGAGAGTCGTGCAGCAAACAGCCAACAAAGAACCAGAAGATCCACGGCTCATTTCTAATTCTCATGAGTTTGTTTTACTGTTTCCTGAACTTCTTCAGTCAGGTTCTGTTCAGTGACACAGAGAAAGAGAAAAAGCATTTTGGAACGGCCTTTCTTTGGACTGAGATGAAGGACGCCTGTTGCATTATCATAAACAAATACTATCAGAATAATAAACAGAAACAGTTCAAAACCAATGAATGAAAAATTTATGAATGAGATATCATAAAAGTGTGACTGTATCGTGTGACATCTTGTAAAGGCATCTCAGCTCCTGTGGACTCAGCACCTGCAGGATCAGTGAGGGGCCGGTGCTCTGTGACTGCAGGATCAGTGAGGGGCCGGTGCTCTGTGACTGCAGGATCAGTGAGGGGCCGGTGCTCTGTGACTGCAGGATCAGTGAGGGGCCGGTGCTCTGTGACTGCAGGATCAGTGAGGGGCCGGTGCTCTGTGACTGCAGGATCAGTGAGGGGCCGGTGCTCTGTGACTGCAGGATCAGTGAGGGGCCGGTGCTCTGTGACTGCAGGATCAGTGAGGGGCCGGTGCTCTGTGACTGCAGGATCAGTGAGGGGCCGGTGCTCTGTGACTTCAGGATCAGTGAGGGGCCGGTGCTCTGTGACTGCAGGATCAGTGAGGGGCCGGTGCTCTGTGACTGCAGGATCAGTGAGGGGCCGGTGCTCTGTGACTGCAGGATCAGTGAGGGGCCGGTGCTCTGTGACTGCAGGATCAGTGAGGGGCCGGTGCTCTGTGACTGCAGGATCAGTGAGGGGCCGGTGCTCTGTGACTGCAGGATCAGTGAGGGGCCGGTGCTCTGTGACTGCAGGATCAGTGAGGGGCCGGTGCTCTGTGACTGCAGGATCAGTGAGGGGCCGGTGCTCTGTGACTGCAGGATCAGTGAGGGGCCGGTGCTCTGTGACTGCAGGATCAGTGAGGGGCCGGTGCTCTGTGACTGCAGGATCAGTGAGGGGCCGGTGCTCTGTGACTGCAGGATCAGTGAGGGGCCGGTGCTCTGTGACTGCAGGATCAGTGAGGGGCCGGTGCTCTGTGACTGCAGGATCAGTGAGGGGCCGGTGCTCTGTGACTGCAGGATCAGTGAGGGGCCGGTGCTCTGTGACTGCAGGATCAGTGAGGGGCCGGTGCTCTGTGACTGCAGGATCAGTGAGGGGCCGGTGCTCTGTGACTGCAGGATCAGTGAGGGGCCGGTGCTCTGTGACTGCAGGATCAGTGAGGGGCCGGTGCTCTGTGACTGCAGGATCAGTGAGGGGCCGGTGCTCTGTGACTGCAGGATCAGTGAGGGGCCGGTGCTCTGTGACTGCAGGATCAGTGAGGGGCCGGTGCTCTGTGACTGCAGGATCAGTGAGGGGCCGGTGCTCTGTGACTGCAGGATCAGTGAGGGGCCGGTGCTCTGTGACTGCAGGATCAGTGAGGGGCCGGTGCTCTGTGACTGCAGGATCAGTGAGGGGCCGGTGCTCTGTGACTGCAGGATCAGTGAGGGGCCGGTGCTCTGTGACTGCAGGATCAGTGAGGGGCCGGTGCTCTGTGACTGGGTGCAGCTCTGACTGCCACCCCCGACTCAGACATGGATTAAGGGGAAGAAGATGGATGGATCTAGTAAAGGTACAGTTTATTTATCCCTGTAGTAGGGCCGGGCGATATGGCAAAAAAGTTAAATCAAGATTTTATTTCCTGCTTTGGACCATTTCGATTTTAAATTGATTTTCATTAAAGTCACCAAAGACTTTGTCCTGAAAAATATGTTTTGATCTTTCCGCTCAATATTTAATTTGTTTCCCCCGATACGTATCGTATAAGTCTTGTACAGACTGAGCTGATATTGTAAGTATAATCATGTGCTGCTGGAACTCTCATTGTTCACAAATTTGATATTTTCAAAAGCCTAAAATACCTAAATTCGCTTTATTGCCCGGCCCTACAATTTGTCCTCTGCATTTGACCCATCCTCTATCAAGCAGTGGTGGCTGTAATACACCCGATGTATTTATTTATTTATTGATTTTTAAGTGTTACACAATCAACAAGTAAAACACGACAACATTTACAGCCAAGGCTAATTTGCAAAGTGCATCCCCAGGAGGGCTTTGAACACAATTAAAAACACATTTTACAGTATTACATTCACATTATACAAATGCAGGTGTTCCCCAACTCCTTAATCATCACAAACTGCTTTGTTTTAAAAATCGCTTCGGTTCGTGTTAAAAACCAGCCCAGTCACAGTTCAGTTTTATCTGAGCTTTGCCTCTGGACCGACTGTGTCCGAGTGTGGTTCTTTGTTGATGTTGGTGCTTGGCTTGGTCAGGACTATTGTGCATGTTTTTAGCACGATTTGCGACTCACGGCAACTTCCGGTGACTCAGGAGCTGTGAGTCGCGGCTCACGGTTAAAAATACCGCATATTTTTGCTTTTTACGTGTATCTGTGAATTATTAATGTCACAATATGGATCTTAATAGTTTACATGTAATCAGTATTTAACACACTCTTCATCGGCTAATATGTGTTTGTAGAGCTCTCCATGTCCTGTTAACCACTGACTCACAGCCCATGGGCCGCCACTCACGGTTAAATATACCAGAGCACCCGGAGGAAACCTATGCAGACATCGGGAGAACATGCAAACTCAGAAAGGTCTTGTTGCAGCTGGGATTGGAACCCAGGACCTTCTCGCTATCCACTCAGCCCCCTCGGCCTGCCTCGGAACTGTAGATACACATTCTATTCAACCACATTTGCTTTTACTGTCCGGTAAGTTCAGTGGCCCTGTGAATGAAGCGTCCTCTTCTGACACGTCCCAAACAACTCGATAAGACTTTTTTCATTGTTGCTAAAACGTTAAACTTTTACTGCCGCGGTTTATTGGTCCTTCTGAACTTCCTGCCTTTGTCCTCAGACCCCAAAAGCATCGCACGAAAGCTTTATCGACTGATTTTATGGTTCATTTCACGGATGTCCGGGAAAATATATCTAAAATATACCCACAGTATGAAGCACAATGATATTTTGGGACTATCAAAAATTGAATTGAGCTAAAACTGTTTGTCTTGAACCAATATTACTTTATAGATGGACCCGATTTAGACACTTTGAGCTTTGAGTGCATTGTGTGAGCGTGGAAATGATCAAACCCATTTTCTATCGATATCAAACACGTGTCTATTGCAATATTAACGGCTTATTAAACGAGCACGAGGTCTGTACAGAGAAATATCAGACCTTTTTGTACAGTGCGAAAAGACCAAGGTACAGACCGAGCAAGCAAGGTTAGTAAATGTTTTATTATTTGACTATTTTTGATGTGTGCGAATATCTATCGGTTTTAACTAAAAACACATTTGACCAAAGTGTCAAACTGTGACATGAAGAACTGATCAGAGGATTGAGGCGCCCGCTGTAAGTTCTCAGTCTGTGTCTTTACCAATGCTTTTTACATATTTGTGACGTTCATGTCCCACTTGGTTTTCCTGATCCTGTTTTTACCTTTCTGGTCTGTAACCAAGTTGTCGATCTCTTCTTGACTGTTGGAGTTGTGTTTTGGTCGTTATTTGCTGTTATTACTTCCTCTGGCTCTTCCAACTCGTCCTGATGATAGAATTCACTGAGAATGCTCCCAGTCGTCGCTCAAAATGTCTTTTTTTACCGAGGAAAGACGTCAAATCTGATACGTGCTGCGGACCGGTTGTCATGGTAACGGTCCGAGACGGGAAAATATCAGACCGCAAATCAGCCAATCAGAGCGCACGATCCAAGTCATATAATATATATCGTTTATCGTTTTTATCGCCCAGCCCTACGTCAGGCCACAAGTGCCTGGACTTCATGCCTTCAGGACCCAATGCCACCATCAGTTCCCAGGTCGGGGGGATTTTAAGCGGCACACAAGGAATTACAACACACTGGTGATTACCGGATGAAAACTAGCTTGGTGGCTATAATCCGGCATATTTACATTTTGTTTTATACTGATTGATGAATGTGCATTGTCCCTATCAAATAAATAGATATGAACAATAACAAACACATTTTGTCTGTAGTTTCTCCAGATTGAAGCTGGTGCACTTGAACACAGCATGGACCACGTCACCCTCGAGTCCTTTCGAAGTGCGAGACTGAGAACTGTGATTCAGAGTTTTGCCACATTTTCAGCTTTGTGAAAAATATTCCCACAAGTCCCCGGTTTGTTCCTATCGCTGTAAAATCTTGGAGAGAAGAGGAAGTGTGAAGGCGGTGAAGGAGCTGGTGAGAGCTGGGAGCCACACGGGCCCTCGGGTCTGGAGCTAGCTTACCATGTGTACAAATGGTTCACATAAACGGCATTTAAGTGCACCAATCCTCTCGCTCCTCTCCGTCTGTGAGCTTTAACAAACTTGCTGAAACTATGGTATGGCTCTGGGGTTTCAACAGCACAGAGCAATTTTCCCTGGCTCTCACTGCTGCACTCTGCCTGTATTATATTTATTATTTGTTATTATATATGTGGTTACGTAAAAATTGCAGTAGTCGTTACCGATAAAACTAAAATATTCAGTGTGGGATTAACTGGGCCATGGCTGCACTTTAAAGACTCGAATAGTCCAGTGGCCATGGCCCAGACTTGTGTGGTTCACTGTATCTGCCTTTAGTGACTTTTTGGGCAGTCTTGATTAGGAGCGGTAAACAAAGAAAACAGAAACGTTGATTTGAACAATATAAATATCTAAATATATAGATTTTATATTGATATTTGGACTTCTGTAATGTAACTCCGAATCAGTAGCGTTGTAATTTGTTAAAGGGCTGGAGGGTTAGATACGTTTTACTGCATTGTATTGTGGTAGCTCAGTCACACGGGAGGAGCTCAGAGTAGAGCCGCTGCTTCTCCACATCAGGAGAAACCAGTTGAGGTGGCTCAGGCAGCTACGTATCTCAGCTATGTTTCTCTCTGGTCTGGGAATACCTTGGGATCCCCTGGATGAGCTGGAGGAAGTGTGGGTGGAGAGGGAAGTCTGGGCGTCTCTGCTTAGACTGCTGCCTCCGCGTCCCGGCCATGGATGAAGCGGAAGAAAACTGATAGATGGATGATGCATTGTATTGTAGCAGTTTGCCATATTGTATTTAATTATCTCAAATTGAAAGTTTACTGTTTTTTAGATATTTATCGTGTCATTCTGTACCAGCGGGCTCTGATAGATGCCCAGCCCTACTCTTGGTACTAGTAATAAAGTAGTAATAAAGTAAGTAATAAAGTAGTAACATAGTAGTAATAAAGTAGTAATCATATCTGTATTTGTAGAAGTCCAGACTTAATGAATCCTGACATACTGCTTACTGTGGAGTTATCCATCCATCCATCCATTTTCTTCCGCTTTATCCGTTGTCGGGTCGCGGGGGCAGCAGTCTAAGCAGAGACGCCCAGACTTCCCTATCCACACACACCTCCTCCAGCTCGTCCGGGGGGACCCCAAGGCGTTCCCAGGCCAGCTGAGAGACAGTCCCTCCAGCGTGTCCTGGGTCTTCCCCGGGGCCTCCTCCCGGTGGGACGTGCCCGGAACACCTCCCCAGGGAGGCGTCCAGGAGGCATCCGGAACAGATGCCCGAGCCACCTCAACTGGTTCCTCTCGACGTGGAGAAGCAGCGGCTCTACTCCGAGCTCCTCCCGTGTGACTGAGCTCCTCACCCTATCTCTAAGGGAGCGCCCAGCCACTCTGCGGAGGAAGCTCATTTCGACCGCTTGTATCCGCGATCTCGTTCTTTCGGTCATTACCCAAAGCTCATGACCATAGGTGAGGGAGGGAACGAAGATTGACCGGTAAAATGTAGCTCGTGAAAATTCAATTTGGTAGACGTCAGCCAAAAGCTACCCCCTCCAGGCCGGTTCGCTTCCCCAGCCTATCGCTCAGCAAACGCCCCCTTCCAATCATCCGTGCCGGACAGGCAGCCGCTTAAAAGCGGAGCAACTCCCACTCTCGGCCTTCTCGAAGCCTCGCATGCTCCTGAAGCCTTGCAGAGAATCGTCTGGAGGAATCGTTTTCGTCTACTCACGCTACTCGGCGCGTCCCTGGCGTCCTCCGTCTGGCTGCTTGTGGTCTGCTCCTCCTTCGCGTCCCTGCACTGGCCTGCTCCTCCTCCGCGTCCCTGCACTGCTGTGGTTCGCATATCCCCACTGCTCTCCTCCTCTGCGGGCTCTTTCTGCGGGCTGCTCCGCGGGGCCCCTCCGCGGGTTTCTGTGCTGCTCGTTCCTCGTGGTCTGCTGCCGCGCGCAGACGGTCTGGCGGTGCCGTGCGTGTCCCTGCCTCGATTGGCGGTGCCGCGTTGTCCCGTTGCTTTTCCCAAGTCTCCTGGCATGTGAGTACAGTGAGTGTGCTGACCGCGGACAGATTAATCCCGGAGTTCTGGGCTGCAGGCGATTGGTTTTTGCCCTACGCACTTGACTGCAGGCGTCAGTTTTTTCGCCCCGAGCTTGGTCTGCAGGCTCCGTTTTCACATGTGTCTGAGCTAACCGAGGGGCAATGCATATTAAATGGCATCATCTCTATCGTCTATCGTATATCATGTTCCACTGAGGGATAAATACGAGGAGCTATGTGCATTAATTCAGATCATGTTCTGCCACTTGCTGGTGAAAACCATGCATTAAATAGCTAGGTCGCTGGTATTAAATTAGGTAACTAACTGCAGTGTTACATTTTGAAAGTGCAGCAGTGAAGAAAAATACTTACTTACTCCGAAAACGTGAATCGACGTGATCTGCAATGGGTGTGAAGTAGTGTTGGAGCTATGAACGCATAGATCAGTGATCGTTCATGCGTATCTGCCATAACCAAAGCAGAAGATGGCTCCAGGGGACGTCTGTTATTCGCATGGGAATGTTTCGGATTCGGGTTGATTTATTTCCTCAGGCTGTTAAACAACCGTGGGCATGGTTCTCTGACCGCCGCTGCTGCCGGTCCCCGCTGCCGTTCCTACTGATGCCGATCCCGCCGCCGCCGTTCCTGCTGCCGCTCCTGCTGCTGCCTGTTCCTGCTGCCGCTCCTGCTGCCGTCTGTCCCTGCTGCCTGTTCCTGCTGCTCCTACTACTACATGTGCCGCTGCCGTTCCGCAGGCTCCCAGGCTGCACCTGTCTCTGTGGCTCGGCTCTTCCAGACACGTATGTAACCTGGCTCATGGAGACAAGCGGCGCACACTGGCGCGACACGTCTGTCTGTTTGTATGAATCGCTTCGTGGTGCTGCTGCTCCCGCTGATGCTGCTTCTGCTGCTTCATACTGCTACCGTTACTGCTGCTACTGCTGCCGCTGCTGCTTCATACTGCTACTACTGCCGTGCTGCTGCTGCTTCATGTACTTCGTCATCTCTCTTCACTTCGCTTCTCTTACTGAAACACTAAACAGCTACAACATATTCTACTGCCGTGGCTTTGATACAGGGTTTTTGCCGTTATTATCTACGGATGCTGCAGCTGCTGCTGCCGCGGCTGATACAGGTCGTTGCCGTTATTATCTGAGGTTACTGCCGCTGCCGCTGCTGCTACTGCTACTGCTACTGCTGCAACCCACTCTCTCAGAAGCTTATCCTGCTTCTAATGGAGGCAGCCCGGCAGAGTATGCCGCGCTGCACTGGACTCGCACCTGTGCTCCCAGGGTCGCTTCGGCGGTCATGCTTCATCTTTCTACTTAATCTTCCGATTCTATCAGATGCAGCTGGCCGAGTAGCTGCGCTGAGCCGTCAATCGGACTCCTAATCAAAGGCATCCATACCTGTGTTCTTCACTCTTCTGATCGCAGGCTCCCAATCATGCTGCCCATCCTGCAGCGGCACTGAACTCCGGCTCATCTTCCAGGTACATGTCTGCCCTCCTCGCAGCATCTTCCTGCTCGCCTTCCATGGCTTCTCTGCATAAGCGTTTTACTACTGCACACTCAACCTTCATGCGGTCCGAGACACGGCTTTTCCCGACCATCCTACTATCCTGATTACCTACTCTCCAACCCAAGATTCTAAGCGTAAGGGCGCCTGCAACATCAATGGCCCTCTCCGACATGTCTCTGCCCCTCCAGGTCTCCGCTTCTACACGGACGTGCCCCTTCCGTGGGTTTTGGGGGGATTTTTCCAGGACCATCGGGTTGCCGGGCCGTGGCCGCTACTTTCCACCGGAGCATCTCCTCTGCCCTACACGAGATATTCCCAGTGGTCGTGGCCTGCGCGCTGCGGAATCACACGTGGCGGAAAAAGAGGATCTCGGTCATGTGTGATAATCTCGACGTAGTGGAAGCTTACACAAAGGTCGCTCTCTTTCACCCAACATTATGTCCCCTGACCCTTTCAACCTTCATCTCAAACAAAGTAAGTGAACCAATAAGATTCTGGTGGCGGCACGCATTTCTCTCAAACACTCTCCGCTGCCGCAGCGTCTGACGGAACGTAATGCGAGCGCTCACGTTCCCAGCGCGCAAAGATAACCCTGCCGCAGCGTCTGGTTGATCGTGATGCGAGCGCTCACGTCCCGGCACTCAAAGATAACCGCATATAACGGTCACAGCACATAGTGATAGCGGTCATAGCGTCAGTGATAGCGGTCATAGCGTCAGTGATAGCGGTCATAGCGTCAGTGATAGCGGTCATAGCGTCAGTGGTAGCGGTCATAGCGTTAGTGTTAGCGGTCACAGCATAGCAAAAAATGGTTAGCGCATAAACGGTTCACAGCATAGAGATAGCGGTCACAGCATAGCGATAGCGGTCACAGCATAGCGATAGCGGTCACAGCATAGCGATAGCGGTCACAGCATAGCGATAGCGGTCACAGCATAGAGCAGCCACGACGTCTGTCCCCTGCAAACCAGGCTGCAAAACTCCATCAACACACACAGCCTTTTTGGGGATTGTACGCGCTCCATCGCAGGAGCCTCTCCGATCTGAAGGCCGCACCGGGGCCTAGGGCGCCAAACCACCTCAATAAATACTCAAAACCATTTTCGTTTCTCGTCTCTCCAAATTGAAATGTAGCTCGCGAAAATTCAATTTGGTAGACGTCAGCCAAAAGCTACCCCCTCCAGGCCGGTTCGCTTCCCCAGCCTATCGCTCAGCAAACGCCCCCTTCCAATCATCCGTGCCGGACAGGCAGCCGCTTAAAAGCGGAGCAACTCCCACTCTCGGCCTTCTCGAAGCCTCGCATGCTCCTGAAGCCTTGCAGAGAATCGTCTGGAGGAATCGTTTTCGTCTACTCACGCTACTCGGCGCGTCCCTGGCGTCCTCCGTCTGGCTGCTTGTGGTCTGCTCCTCCTTCGCGTCCCTGCACTGGCCTGCTCCTCCTCCGCGTCCCTGCACTGCTGTGGTTCGCATATCCCCACTGCTCTCCTCCTCTGCGGGCTCTTTCTGCGGGCTGCTCCGCGGGGCCCTCCGCGGGTTTCTGTGCTGCTCGTTCCTCGTGGTCTGCTGCCGCGCGCAGACGGTCTGGCGGTGCCGTGCGTGTCCCTGCCTCGATTGGCGGTGCCGCGTTGTCCCGTTGCTTTTCCCAAGTCTCCTGGCATGTGAGTACAGTGAGTGTGCTGACCGCGGACAGATTAATCCCGGAGTTCTGGGCTGCAGGCGATTGGTTTTTGCCCTACGCACTTGACTGCAGGCGTCAGTTTTTTCGCCCCGAGCTTGGTCTGCAGGCTCCGTTTTCACATGTGTCTGAGCTAACCGAGGGGCAATGCATATTAAATGGCATCAATCTCTATCGTCTGAGGGATATACGAGGAGCTATGTGCATTAATTCAGATCATGTTCTGCCACTTGCAGTAAAACCATGCATTAAATAGCTAGGTCGCTGGTATTAAATTAGGTAACTAACTGCAGTGTTACATTTTGAAAGTGCAGCAGGAAGAAAAAGGGCCGAACGTGAATCTGCAATGGGTGTGAAGTAGTGTTGGAGCTATGAACGCATAGATCAGTGATCGTTCATGCGTATCTGCCATAACCAAAGCAGAAGATGGCTCCAGGGGACGTCTGTTATTCGCATGGGAATGTTTCGGATTCGGGTTGATTTATTTCCTCAGGCTGTTAAACAACCGTGGGCATGGTTCTCTGACCGCCGCTGCTGCCGGTCCCCGCTGCCGTTCCTACTGATGCCGATCCCGCCGCCGCCGTTCCTGCTGCCGCTCCTGCTGCTGCCTGTTCCTGCTGCCGCTCCTGCTGCCGTCTGTCCCTGCTGCCTGTTCCTGCTGCTCCTACTACTACATGTGCCGCTGCCGTTCCGCAGGCTCCCAGGCTGCACCTGTCTCTGTGGCTCGGCTCTTCCAGACACGTATGTAACCTGGCTCATGGAGACAAGCGGCGCACACTGGCGCGACACGTCTGTCTGTTCGTATGAATCGCTTCGTGGTGCTGCTGCTCCCGCTGATGCTGCTTCTGCTGCTTCATACTGCTACCGTTACTGCTGCTACTGCTGCCGCTGCTGCTTCATACTGCTACTACTGCCGTGCTGCTGCTGCTTCATGTACTTCGTCATCTCTCTTCACTTCGCTTCTCTTACTGAAACACTAAACAGCTACAACATATTCTACTGCCGTGGCTTTGATACAGGGTTTTTGCCGTTATTATCTACGGATGCTGCAGCTGCTGCTGCCGCGGCTGATACAGGTCGTTGCCGTTATTATCTGAGGTTACTGCCGCTGCCGCTGCTGCTACTGCTACTGCTACTGCTGCAACCCACTCTCTCAGAAGCTTATCCTGCTTCTAATGGAGGCAGCCCGGCAGAGTATGCCGCGCTGCACTGGACTCGCACCTGTGCTCCCAGGGTCGCTTCGGCGGTCATGCTTCATCTTTCTACTTAATCTTCCGATTCTATCAGATGCAGCTGGCCGAGTAGCTGCGCTGAGCCGTCAATCGGACTCCTAATCAAAGGCATCCATACCTGTGTTCTTCACTCTTCTGATCGCAGGCTCCCAATCATGCTGCCCATCCTGCAGCGGCACTGAACTCCGGCTCATCTTCCAGGTACATGTCTGCCCTCCTCGCAGCATCTTCCTGCTCGCCTTCCATGGCTTCTCTGCATAAGCGTTTTACTACTGCACACTCAACCTTCATGCGGTCCGAGACACGGCTTTTCCCGACCATCCTACTATCCTGATTACCTACTCTCCAACCCAAGATTCTAAGCGTAAGGGCGCCTGCAAC